AAGACACTTTCTCTTTTTCATTTTTTTTTTTCCTGTCTCTACTGGTAAGGTAGGCGTCGGGTACAAAATACCTCGCCCCAGTACCCAACCAGGAAACCTCACCTCCCACCACTCCAGCCAAAGCAGGGAGGAGGAGGTCCAGAAATTGTCCCCAGGATGTTTTCCTAGCCTTGGACTCACAGTTTAAAGATCTGGTAACATCCCTGGGTGTAATCTAATTATCATAAAAGCCAGTATTCATTGAGCAACTTCATTGTGCCAGGCACCACATTATTCTAGAAGCTCACAACCCAGCTATCCTAGGAAGTAGATAATTATTCTCATTTTTCCGATGGGAAAACTGAAGCTGGGAGCAATCCAGGGAATTGCCCAAGGAGGATGGCAGAGGTGAGGCACACAGAAGAGAGAGGACGGCTGAAGCGAGCCTGGCTAGCTTTGGTCTCCGGGATGGGCACCAGGGACAGGCTGTCCTTCCACCAGGTCACTAGGCCAGCCAGGGATGCACCAGCCCCCAGTGCCCACAGCAGCGTTCTCTGTGGCTGATGACGGACAGCGTACCTATGTGTGGAGGGAGGGCGGGCCTTCTGTCCACATTTCACTGTCAAACCCAGTAGTTTCCTGCCTAGATCTGGTTGTGCTTTCACCTGATATATACTTAATAGACACAACACTAACTATGGTGAGATGATTAGGGGAAGTACATGCAGATCCAGGTTCCAATACCGGCTCCCACACAAACTGGCCCCATAGCCTCGGGCAAGTTAGTTAGCATCTGTCTCTGAGCCTAGCGCCCCTTCCATGGAAGGGGAATGAATGACACCTACTCATAGGGTGGTCTGTCCCGAGGGTGATTGAGGTTTTGCAGGTAAAGAGCCAAACCAGTGCCTGGCATCCTTTCAAGGCTTCATAGAGGAAAGCTGCTGTTTTTCTGGTGTGACCTAGCTCAAATTTGAGGACTGTCCTGTCCATAGGATACCTTAGAAGTGGCTTGCAGGTAGCCTGGTCTGCTGGGCACCCATCAGGAAGTCCACAAGCTGGGAGTAGTAACAGCACTAGCATCGTGGTGATACAGTCCCAGCTACAGGACACAGGATAAGGTGGAAGCAGGCACCCACTTTTGGGTCTAAAAGGTCAGGGGTACGCAGCCCAAGCTGGGGAGAGCAGGCAGGAGAACTGGGCCCTCCCTGATGCTTTCTGCAACCTGTATGGATTTCCATCATGGCCCATGGGACACCTCAGGGCCCTGAATTCTCCATGACACCATGAGCTCCTATAGGGCAGGAATGAAGCTGTGTTCCTCTTTGAAGTCCCTGGCACACCGTGGTCAACAGATCTTGTTTGACTAGTAGGGGTCAATAGATGGATTAGTTGGAATCATAAAGTTGAACCCATGAGAACCTAGAGGACAAAGTACTGTCAAGAGCTCGGTCTCTGGAGTTGGCTAGGCCCGGATTGAATTTGATTCTACAATTTAATAGCTGAGAGGGCCTTGGTTTTCCCACCTGTAGTGATTATAATTATTATAATGAACACCTACCTCCTAGGGATGTGGTGAGGATTAAAAGAGAAAGTGCAGGTAAAATGTTTAGCACGGAACCCGGCTCACAGCACAATGCACATTAGCTGCTATTATTTATTTGTTTGTTTGTTTTGAGACATAGTCTTGCTTTGTCACCCAGGCTGGAGTGCAGTGGCGTGATATTGGCTCACTGCAACCTCTGCCTCCCAGGTTCAAGCTATTCTCGTGTCTCAGCTTCCCAAGTAGCTGAGATTACAGGTGTGCACCACTGCACCCAACTAATTTTTGTGTCTTTAGAAGAGATGGGGTTTCACCATGTTGGCCAGGCTGGTCTCGAACTCCTGACCTCAGGTGATCCGCCTGTCCCTGCCTCTCAATATGCTGGGATTACCGGCCCGAGCTACCATGCCCGGCCTTAGCTGCTATTTTTGTCATCCTCATTGTCATCATCATCATCACCACCTCGCAGATATGTCAAGGAAGATTCCCTGGAGGAAGTGACATTTGAATCAAGTCTTTCTTTTTTTTGAGACAGAGTTTCGCTCTTGTTGCCCAGTCTGGAGTGCAATGGCACGATCTCAGCCCACCACCTCCTGGGTTCAAGCGATTCTCCTGCCTCAGCCTTCTGAGTAGCTGGGATTACGGGCATGCACTGCAATACCCAGCTAACTTTTAGTAGAGATGGAGTTTCTCCATGTTGGTCACCCTGGTCTCAAACTCCCAATGCTGGTGATCTGCCCGCCTTGGCCTCCCAGAGTGCTGGGATTACAGACGTGAGCCACTGCGCCTAGCCTGAATCAAGTCTTTCAAAGATTAGATGGTGAACACCAGGAAGTTAAAGACACATGGGTTTAAAAACATCCAGAAGGATGCAGTGGCTTGGCAACTTCCAGAAGGAAGATAGCCTGGCGAGCCTGTAGGGTAGCTGTCAGGCAGAGAGCGGTGAGACGGTCTGGCCAGGCCAGGCCATGTCAGGCAGGGCCTCACACACCTCAATAAGGAGTGTGGACTTTATTCTGAGGCCAAGGAAAGGGCATGAAACTGGGGAGTGGTGTAATCAGATGCATATTTCAGAAGACCAGGATTGACAGTGACAAGGAAAATGTGCCACGGAGGGGGGTAGAGGTCAGTTAAAGGTGGTCAGGGAAAGTATCCTCGAGACAGTGACACCAAAGGAATGTGAAAACAGCAAAGCAGTGAGCCAGGTAGATACCCAGGGGCAGAACTATTAAGACAGAGGGGACAGCATGAGGGAACAGTGTGTGCAAAGGCCTGGAGTAGGGAGTGTGGCTGGGGTGCTCCAGGAAGGGGAAAAAGGCCTGTGTGGACAGAGAAATGGGAGCAAGGGAGGAGTGGTGGGTCGGATTGGGTAGGACCTTGGTGATGATGGTAAAGACTTTGGAGTTTAGACCGGGCGCAGTGGCTCAGGCCTGTAATCCCAGCACTTTGAGAGGCCAAGGTGGGTGGATCACCTGAGGTCAGAAGTTCAAGACCAGCCTGGCCAACATGGTGAAACCCTGTCTCCACTAAAGGTAAAAAAAATTAGCCAGGTGTGGTGGCATGTGCCTGTAATCCCAGCTACTCTGGAGGCCGAGGCAGGAGAACCAATCGCTTGAACCCGGGAGGTGGAGGTTGCAGTGAGCCAAGATTGCACCACTGCACTCCAGCCTGGGCGGCAGAGTGAGACTGTCTCAAAATAAAATACAGTAAAAATAATAAAGACTTTGGAGTTTACCTGGAGCGAGATGGAAGCCTTTAGAGGGTGTAAGCAGAAGAGGGACATGATCTGATTTTCATTTTAACCCTTCCTGCTATGTGGAGAATGGACTGAAGGCAAGGTGTTTTGTAAATTTGTTTTTTTGAGACAGGGTCTTGCTCTATTGGCCAGGCTGAAGTGCAGTGGCGCAATCACGGCAGCCTTGAACTCCTGGGCTCAGTCGATACTCCCACCTCAGCCTCCTGAGTCTCACCATTATGCCCTGCTAATTTTTTAAAAAATGTATTTTGTAGAGATGGGGTCTCCCTGTGTTGCCCAGGCAAGTCTTAAATTCCTGGTCTCAAGTGATTCTCCCACCTCAGTCTCCCAGAGTGCTGGGATTACAGGTGTGAGCCACCATGCCCGAACTGTTTGTTTTTTTAAAAAGGAGAAAAAGGCTTTTAATAGTATGAGATGTTTTCTGGTGTTTCTACCATAAAGCTCTTCTGTAAATCAAAACGAGAACATAATTATCGACAGGGCAGTGATCTTGGACTACAATGCAGACTTTCATTTTACATTTGGGCTCATGAATTTTAGTGTAACTGACTATGACAGTGTTTTTTACACAGTTATGATCTAGAGCAGAACTGAAAACAAAATCACACATACTCCACGTCAGTACACTCTTTCACCAATATATGGGCTTGGATGAACCTTCAGAAGTAGGTACATCTGTCAGATATTTTCTTAAACCAACAGAAAAAAGATGTACATGGCAGATATTGTATGTGTGTATGTATGTATTTATTTATTTATTTTTGAGCCGTAGTCTTGCTCTGTCATCCAGGCTGGAGTGCAGTAAGATGATCTCTGCTCACTATAACCACCACCTCCTGGGTTTAAGTGATTCTCCTGCCTCAGTCTCCTGAGTAGCTAGGATTAGAGGCACGTGCCACCATGCCCGACTAAATTTGTGTTTTTAGTAGAGACAGGGTTTCACCTTGTTGGTCAGGCTGGTCTCGAACTCCTGACTTCATGATCCGCCCGCCTCAGCTTCCCAAAGTTCTGGGACTACAGGCATGAGCCACCGTGCTCGGCCTGTATTTATTTTTTTACCACCATGGAGTCCAATGTGGAATTCTCATAACTATGCAAATACATTATTAACATGTAAGCACACTTAGATATAAATATGCACATAGTCCATTAATTAAATCGAGGGAATTAAAAACATACTTTTAAGTTAAAATGAATTTTCAGGGAAAAAAGCCATTCACAAATCTGAAAGTTGAATACAAAACTGAAATTGTGAAATAAATAGTGAATATAGGCGTCACCTAAACTTCCATAGTAGCATGCCTGCAAATGTGGATGCAGTGATCACCCACCTGGAGCCAAGGGCTTTTGAGAGCCCCCAGCTAAATTCGCGTTCCAGTAGCAGAGCGGATGGCAAGCCTGCCCTAATGTACAATGCCAGGGAGCTGGGCAGGGTATTTACAGTGTGCCCTTCAGGGAATACTTTGATTTTTTTTTTTTTTTTTGAGATGGAGTCTTGCTCTGTCGCCCAGGCTGGAGTATAGTGGCACGATTTCAGCTCACTACAACCTCTGCCTCTTGGGTTCAAGCAATTCTCATGCCTCAGCTTCCTGAGCAGCTGAGATTACAGGCCTCTGCCACCACATTTGGGTAATTTTTGCATTTTTAGCAGAGAGGGGCTTTCACCATGTTGCCCAGGTTGGTCTCGAACTCCTGACCTCAGGTGATCCGCCCACCTCGGCCTCCCAAAGTGCTGGGATTACAGGTGTGAGCCACCGCACCCAGCCCATGAAATACTTCTTACCTGGTGCACAGCTTAATGCCTAACTGTCTAACCCATGTCTGGGGGTCCTTCACACTTGTTTATACTGGCAGACGCCCCTGTGGCTCCTGTCTGATCCATGTCCAAGTTTGTGCCTGTCTGACCATTGCTCTGGGCTAGGAGCCAGGCTGTGTCCCCAGCAACGCAGGGAAAATCAGGCCCAGGCTGGGCCCAGGTTCTTGAGATGGAAGGTGCAAATTCAGTACACCACCTCAATGGGAAACAAGTTCAAAAGCTTATTACTTACAGATCCCGAGCAGGGAGGGTGCGATGAGTGGGGAGGGCCATCCTCCATCCTGGGCTACATGAAGCAGGAATGAAGAGTCAGGCAAAAAGAAAGTGAGATCTTGTGGCAGCGAGAAGTGTATTTTATAAGGGACAAGGCTGTGGGTCAGATTAAGTTCAAGGGCAGATGCCCGAATGGCCCCTTTAAAGGCATGGGTGGAAAATAGGGAGCCCAGTTTGCCAGGAGGGAGAGACGCCTCTAAGTTCTTATCTCTGGACACTGGCTTGGGCCATCTGAGCATGGCTTCTACTTCTAATGCCTAGGCAGCAACCTTTGCTGTGTTGGAAATGTTGGAAGCAGGGTGACAGGTTAGGAAGCCTTTGGTGTAACCCATGTTATTGTAATATTCATTCATTCACTCAACAGATGTTTATTGCGCATCTACTATATGCTGCAGCCATGACAGGCAGGCTCTGGGGACGTGGCTGAGAACAGGACAGAGTCCCTTCATACCCACAGGGTCCTTCATACCCACAGGGTCACTCCCTCCTGGAGGCCATTAACTTCCTGTTGCATGGTATTCTGCTGGAACCCTCAGGTCCCAGCATGTCCAGGAGCCTCCCCTCCTGGCACAGGGGCTTCTCTCATGGTACAAGGGCAGCGGTACAGCCAGTCAATGGCTCCTGGTTCCACAAACTCAGTGAGCACCTGCCTGCCCTTTGTGCTGCCCCTCAGCTTGGGGTGGCCCGAGTCAAGACCAGCCAGGAGCGGAGGCTTCATGATCCCTCTCTTTCCCTCAGGGAGACCCCGTCTGGCCCCTCCCCAGAATGTGACACTGCTCTCCCAGAACTTCAGCGTGTACCTGACATGGCTCCCAGGGCTTGGCAACCCCCAGGATGTGACCTATGTTGTGGCCTATCAGAGGTAGAGGGGACTCTCCCGGCTGGTGGATGGGGAGACTGAGGGGGCGGGTGGGGGCCGAAGGGGCTTCTCTGGGACAGCTGCACCCAGTATGGGCAGCATTGGCTGGTGCTCTGGGCCCCACGGGAGATGGCATGTGGCAGACATTTGGAGAGGGGCTTTTGATAAAGGTCTGGAGGTGGGGAAGATGTTGAATGAAGAGCAGCATAGAGGTGACCAGCCTGCCGGGGGCGGGGGTGGGTCTTTGAGGATGGTGTGGAGCACAGATGGAGCCCTGAGGCCAGGAAATGAAATTCTTAAGTGGCTGGATGAAGTGCTTAGAGCTGTCCCAGCTGATCGGTGAGGCAACTAGATACACAGCAGAGGTGCTGTTACCTGAGCAATCAGGCATCCCTGAAGGATCACAGTTTTTTTTTTTTTTTTTTTTTTTTGAGACAGAGTCTTGCTCTGTCGCCCAGGCTGGAGTGCAGTGGCACAATCTCGGCTCATGCAACCTCTGCCTCCTGGGTGGAAGCGATTCTCCTTCATGCAAGGGATTCTCCTGCCTCAGCCCCCTAAGTAGCTGGGATTATAGGCATGCGCCACCACGCCTGCCTAATTTTTGTATTTTTAGTAGAGATGGGGTTTTGCCATGTTGGCCAGGCTGGTCTCAAACTCCTGACCTCAGGTGATCCACCCACCTTGGCCTCCCAGAGTGCTGGATTACAGGCGTGAGCCACCACGACTGGCTGAATGATCATACTTCCCCATGGGATCCTTCTCAATTTGGCAGCCTAGGCAGCCACTGTGAATCCAGAAACTCTGACAGTGGAAGCAGATCCACCAACTTTGAACATAAATGGGAGTCGTTTGACATTCTTTAGCAGGACAGTGAGATGATAGAAGCAGAAACGCAGAAGGATTCACCTGGAATTGGTAAGAACAGGAGAGCAGGGAGAAGAGGGAACCACCGTGTCCTCAGGACCCATCCTATGCCAGGCCAAGGGCCAAGGGCCCTATGTGAATGTTTCACTTCCTTTGCGAGTGTCACCAGGCAGGCCCTGTGTTTTCTCCATTGTAGAGGTGAGGGGATGGAGCTCAGGGGGATGCTGTGTCTTGTCTGAGGAAGGACGTCATGGAGCCAGAAGGGGAACTCCAGTCTGACTCCAAAACTTGTGCCCTTCCTGTTCCCTCATGTCTTCCCTCCATCTGTGGGATCCACATGCCAGTGATGGGGGCCTGGCTTGGGCAGGGACAGACTGCAAGAGAGCTTTCAAAAGCAAGAGCTCTATCAGGCGGCAGAAAACACCTACTATTTACAGTGTGACTGGCACTGTGTCAACACATGAAATGAATTTGATCTCACAACAGCTCTGTGAGGACAAGTTCAGTACGCCTCTTTACAGAGGAGGAGACTGAAGTGCCAAGGGTGTATTTTGCTCAAAGTCACACAGCTGGGTGTAGTGTGGCTGGAATAAATTTATTAAGGAGTTGAAAGTCTGTCCTCTGGGACCAAGCATGGTGGCTTATGCCTGTAATCCCAGCACTTTGGAAGGCCGAGATGGACAGATTGCTGGAGTCCAAGAGTTCGAGACCATCCTGGGCAGCACAGTGAAACCTGGTCTCTACGAAACACACACACACACACACACACACATACATACACACAAACATATACACACACACACACACATACACACACACACACATACACACACATACATACACACACATACATACACACACATACACACACATATATACACACACATACACACACATACATACACACACACATAGACACACACACACACAAACAATTAGTGAGGCATAGTGGTGTGTGCCTGTGTTCCCAACTACCTGGGAGGCTGAGGTGGGGAGATCACTTGAGCCCAGGAGGCAGAGGTTGCAGTGAGCTGAGATCACACCACTACACTCCAACCTGAGTAACAAAGCAAGATCCTCAAAAGAAAGAAAATCTGTCTTCTAAACTTCTATGATATTTTTCATCTCTTTTATATTTTAAATACCTGTGGGGGTTGTAAAATGGTGATATTCTAATTATATAATTTTTTCATTTGTTAGTTGAAATTATTTTATAAAGAGATGTGTCCTCTCATTTGGTATTTGATATCCAGTCACACTATTCAAATAGGCAGGAGAAGGTAAATGCTTGATTTTTCCTTTATCAATTTTCAAAATAATGAATTGGTTCCTTATCATCTCCCAAAGGTGATCGCTAGCTTATTATTATCATATAAACTCAAGCATTTAAACGTATTTGATGGTTTCAGTCTATTGCAATGCACTCTACTCATTGAAGCTTGAATTGCCCCGTCTGTCCAGCGGGAGTGTCATCCTTTTAACCTGACTCTAGTGGTCTTTGATACCTTGCCAGCTGTCTGTTACAACAAGATGTTCCAGGCCCCTCTGGTACAATTCCTGACCTAAAACCTGCAGTCGGCCATTTCTCCGTTTAGTAAGAAATGGTTGTAAAGACCCTAATCTGCATGCTAGCTGTGGTGCTCACCACTTAGCCAATGCTTTTGGTCTTTTCAGTGAACAGACTGATGTGTGCATACCACATAGACACACACATGCACATAAATTTTTTTGTTTTTGTTTTTTGAGACAGAGTCTCACCCTGTCATGCAGGCTAGAGTGCAGTGTCGTGATCTCGGCTCACTACAACCTCTGCCTCCTGGGTTCAAGAGATTCTCCTGCCTCAGCCTCCCAAGTAGCTGGGATTACAGGCACCTGCCACCACACCTGGCTAATTTTTTGTATTTTTGGTAGAGACGAGGTTTCACCATGTTGGCCAGGCTGGTCTCCAACTCCTGACCTCAAGTGATCTGCCCCCCTCAGCATCCCAAAATGCTGGGATTACAGGCATGAGCCATCGCACCTAGCCTACATGTACATAATTTTTAAGATAAAATGCCTAATGAGTTTATACTGGTGCTTCCAATCTAAATTTAGTTTCTTAGGATTTTTACTTGACTTATTCTATATTACATCTGTATTTTCTTTCTTTCACGTTGAGAATCCTGGCTCTCAAGGACAGGGGAGATGATAGAACTAGAATGACCCGTCTTTACTCATTTTCTTTATCCTAAAACATACATTCTTGTGTCTTAATAGTTTCTTGCTCTTTTTGCCTGAAGGGTTTGTGATGGTTAATAATACGAGGTGTCAACTTAAGTGGATTGAAGGATGCCTAGACAGCTGTTAAAGTTTTGTTTCTGCGTGTGTCTGTGAGGGTGCTGCCAGAGGAGACCGATATTTGAGTCAGGGGACTGGGAGAGGAAGACCCACCCTCACTCATTGTGGGTGGGCACAACCCAGCTGGTTGTCAGGGTGGCTGGAAAGCAGGCGGAAGCTGGTGGGATAGCCTTGCTTGCTGGGTCTTCTAGATTCCTTCTTTCTCCCGTGCTGGATGCTTCCTTCTGCTCCTCCTGCCCTTGAACAGCACACTCTGGGTTCTTCCACCTTTGGACTCTTGGGCTTAAATCAGTGGTTTTTGCTGGGGCTCTCTGAAGGCTGCACTCGACTTCCTTGGTTTTGAGGGTTTCAGATTCAGACTGAGCCACTACTGGCTTCTTTCTTTCCACCTTGCTGACAGCCCATCACACTTCGCCTTGTGATCGTGTGAGCCAATTCTCCTTAATAAACTCCTTTTCATATATACGTAGATCCTATTAGTTCTGTTCCGCTGGAGAATCCTGACTAATAAAGGATTGTTGCTCTTTCCTTAAAATCTAGCAATTTTATTTGACTGTATGTTGGTAATGCTTCTTCATTCTGAGTTGATATTTTTAGGTACTCAACATTCCCATTTAATACATAGTTCCAAGTCATTTTTATTTCAGGAATGTTTTCTTAAATTATAGTTTTAGAATTTGTTCTACTTTCTTGCTTTGGTTTAGGGACTCATATCATTTGTATGTTGAATCATCTTTTTCTGTTTTCCATATTTGTCTTTTCATTGAGCACAGTGACTCACACCTATAATTCCAAGACTTTGTGAGGCAGAGGTGGGAGGATCGCTTGAGCCCAGGAGTTTGAGACCAGCCTGGGCAACATAGTGAGACCCTGTCTCAAATTAAAGAAAAAGGAGAGAATATTTGTCTTTTGCCTTCAAATGCCTTTTATTTGTCTATCTAGCTACTATTCTGTTCTCCAAATGAATTAGATTTCACTCTTGATTTTATTTTTTATTTTTTGAGTTGGAGCCACACTCCCATCATGCAGGCTGGAGTGTAGTGGCGTGATCTCGGCTCACTGCAACCTCCACCTCCTGGTTTCAAGCGATTCTCCTTCCTCAGCCTCCCGAGTAGTTGGGATTATAGGCACATGCCATCACGCCCAGCTAATTTTTGTATTTTTAGTAAAGACGTGGTTTCACCATGTTGGCCAGGCTGGTTGCAAACTCCTGACCTCAGGTGATCCACCGGCCTGGACCTCCCAAAGTGTTGGGATTACAGGCGTGAGCCACTGCCCCTGGCCTCACCCTTGATTTTTTTAAAAACTGTGTGCTTTCATGTTTGAGATTATTCAACATCTCATTTATAATCTTTCTCTTGGTTACATTTATTTTTCCTAAACCTCTAGTCTGCTTTTAGCTGACATGTTCACAACTAAGAATGCTCATTTCTTATTATATCCTACGTTGTGGAATTCATTCCAATTTTCTTTTAAAACCATTATTGAGTGAAAATATATATAGAATAAAATGTTCCCATTTTAAAGTATACAATTTGGTGAGTTTTGGCAAAAGTATGTACCCATGTAACCACGACCACAATCAAGATGTAAGATATCTCTATCACCCCAGAAAGTTTCCTCATCCACTTTGCATTTGGGTCTCCTAGATCGAGGCAACTACAGATCTGCTTTCTAACACTGTGGATCAAACTTAGCATGTTCCAGAATTTCATATAAATAGATTTGCATAGTACATGCCCTTTTGTGTCTGGCTCTTTTCACTCAGCATAATGTTTCTGAAATCCACCCACATTGTTAGGTGTATTCGTAATTAATTCCTTTTTATTGCTGAGTAGTAATGCCATTTATGACTCTGTATGACATTTGTTAATCCATTTCCCCGTCAGTGGATATGTGGATTGTTTCCAGTTCCGGGCAGATATTCATTTGCTAGGGCTGCCATATGCTTGCCCTCCAGACTTCCCGAATTTGTGTCCTTCTCATATGCAAAATACATTCACTCCATCCCAACAGCCCCATAGCCCGTTTCAGCATCTACTCTAAGTTCAAAGTCTTATCCAAATCAGGTCTGAGTGAGTGACTGGAGGTGTTACTCATCCTGAGACCAAATTCCTCTCCACCTACAAACCTGTGAAACCAGGTTGGTTTTGTTTTTTTGAAAATAAAGTGATGGGACAGGTGTGGAATAGACCTTCCCGTTCCAAAAGAGAAAAATAGGAAAGAAGGAAAGAGTGACAGGTCCCAAGCAGGTCTAAAACCTGGCAGGCCAAATTCCATTAGATTTTAAGTCTCAAGAATAGCCCTCTGGCTCAGTGCTCTGCCCTCTGGGTCCACTGGGGTAGCAGCCCCACCCCTTTGCCCTGGGTGGTGACCCTACTCTGGAGGCCCTGGTTAGCAGCAGCCTAGCCTGCTGAAACTGAGGAGGGGACAGCCTTGCCTCTAGGTCTTTGGTGGCAGTGACAATTCTACTGAGCTCTGAATCATCTTCCAGGTAATTTTTCTCTGTTCTTGAAGGATAATGTATGTTCACAGCCAAATAGCTCCAGCTCTTGTGCTTTTCTTTAGAATCCTAGAAGTCTGACAGCCTTCCTTCATTCTGTCCCATCTCCGTCCCCGTTAGTCAAAGCTGGCAGTGCCTCTGCTGGTATAACCCCATCGGTATTTCCATGAGTTGCACCTCTGATCTCCTTATCAAATGATTTTCTAGCCACAACCTTGATGTCCTCGATGTCCTCCTCAGAACATGCTTTCTCTCTCTCTCTTTTTTTTTTTTTTTTTTTTTTTTTGTAATGTGGATTGGCTGAAAATTTTCCAAGCCTTCAAGTTCTAGTTCCTTTTTGCTCACCAGTTCCTTTCATGTATCTCTTCTCTCATATTTTACTATAAGCAGTAAGAAGAAACCAGGTCATACCTTCAGCACTTTGCCTAGAAATCTCTTCAGCTAAGTGTCCAAGTTTATCTCTTTTAAGTCCTCTCTTTCTTTTTTTTTTTTTTTTTTTT